TTAGGATACTTAGGATAAATGATATTATTTCAAAAATTATTTTTTTTGCCTATATTTACGAGGATAAAAAACTATGCTTCAAATCTATACTATAAATGATGTAGGTAATAGTGATGACAGTAAACTTGGAAGCCCTCCATCCAATCGATATCCACCTAGTCATTTAGAGCTTGAAGAACAGCTAAAAAAAGATCGCAAAAAGTTTATAAGATTTGTCAAACAGCTTTTAACTAAATATCATGTCTTAGATGAAAAAAATAAGTGTATACAAAATGATTTAAATCACTTGCATAAGGAAAATGAGCATATGCAAAATGATCTAGATAACTCACATGAGAAAAATAAGCGTATGCATAATTTTATAGATCAAATTGCCCCCTAGCTAATCAACTAAATAGTTTGAATAATAAGCTTGTCTCCCAAATTACTTGCGAACAAAAGTCTCATGCCACTATTAATGCTAAGCAGTTAAAAGAAATAGAATCACTAAGGTTTATAGTTAAATCACTGGAAAGCATAATATCTTCGATGCAAAAAGCTTCATCTTTGAAGGATTCCGATATCGCTTCTTTTAAGACAAAAATAAATGAACTGGAGGCCCGCCTTCTCATAAATTTGAAGCCAGAAAACCCTCAAGGACCTAGCGTGGTTGAGCGACAAGATACTAGGGAATTAAAAAATGAATTGGAGAAAGTTATGCAAAATTCATCATTTAAGGATGGGTTAATTTTCTGTCTCAGATCTAGGGTAAGAAATCTGGAAGATGAACTAGATCAGATCATTTTGCAATCACATCAGTTAATTAATGATTCAAAAATAGGTAGTGCAGAAGTAGATACAGTTTCATTATCCAATGATTATGCTTTAGCGTCTTTGGCTAAGCGAGGTGAAGCAGTAGAAGAGGTATCCCATTTTTCTTCATACTGCTCAGAGTCTGAACCTGATGAAAGCAAAGTAAAAGATGAGATAGAGTCCCAAGAAGACCATATTCATGTTGATTAAAAATCAAAAGAAAAACATGATGATATCTCAGCCTTACTCATTGTTGTATTAGGAGCTGGTAAGGCTTTAGTTGATAAACAGTATATGCTTCTGCCTATATTCGAACTTATGGTTCTTGCTTTAGTGATTATACTAATTATATGGTATATATATAGACATTTTTTTCGCTCTGATAAAAAGGAAGAAATTTTTTCAAAATATAAAATACCCATAAATAGAAATCAAGGCTGAAGAAAAAAAAAATTCAGAAGATCTGCTCTGATTCTGCATAAAATTAGCTCCGATCAAGAATTTCACGTGACATCTAACTATAAGTCAGCAACTATTGCTCCTCTGGCCTCACGCGAATAAATATATATCTCGTTAGAAGCGTTAAGACAAATATATACTCCTTTGGTAAAAAGATATTTAGGAGATAGCCTATCTTAATTTTTTTTAACTATAATGAGAAAAAAGGTTAGTCTGGTATATAATAAAAATTCTTCCACAGTTAAGGCCATGATCATCGTAAAAATATGGAACAAATATGGTAATTCTGATGTCTATTAATTTGCTGATCTCAATTCTAAAAAAAAGCATATATGATAATTCAGTATACAATCTACTTAATAATTTTCCTAGCCAGATACAGGGGATATAATAGGACTCATCATTGGTGAGGACTTTCTTTCATATTTGCGTGATGAGCCGTCATGGAAAATTGCTAAGAAAATTTTATTATCTGACGCACTTGCTTTATTAATAATAAAAAAATACATGTATTGAATCTCTAGTCTATGAATTTTTTGGGGTTGAAACCGTTACTACCATTTCACTAGAACTATGTTCACTATCCCCAGAGTCAGAACTATATAATATTTTGTGAATTGTACATGCAACGGCCATTCTCAGAGTCATCAACGCATGTATAAGTGGGTATACAGCACTTGGGAAAGTCACATGCAATGGAATTGTTGCTTCCTCTATTAAACAGTACTTATAAATACCCGATTCTTTTTGCATAACATAAAGTTCCATAACATCACCTAGAAGTGAATAAAGTAAAATATGAACAATTTATGATTATATAAAAAATAAAAATAATTTATTTGTACCTGTGATGTTAATAGTGAATATGGTTAGATTCTGCTTCCTTGACGGTTGGTTAAATATCTTTTTAAGGTTTTTTATGTTTCTCGTAGTATCGATAGAATCCTTAGAAAAACGTATTAATTTTTTGTGATCTCGATCCAGCTTATCTTGACTGGAATTAGGTCTACCTGTCTCAAGATAAACAATTTCAAGTTCAGCATTTTTTTTGAACTGGACTACCATCATATAATCAGCTATGTGAGACGTACTTTCATTTTGATACTTCTCTGGGAGCTTGGCCCTTATAGCTCTTTTTTCGGCTACTTTAACGGTGGTATCTTTCATTGCATCGGAGACAGGTAAGTCTTACATTCTGAAGATAATGTCCCTCAGCATCATTTATCTGATCAATCAAAAATGACTGTAGATGACGCTTAGGATAGCCTTGAAATAGGAGTGGAATATAACATATCTTACAAACTTTCTTTTGCCGATATGCCATAGAAATTATCTCTTTTGGCATGATTAATGAAATAGCTTTCTCCTCATCATTCTCTGCTAGATAGAGCGGATTCTCATATACCGTAGTGTTCTCAATCAAATCAGTCTTATCATCTACCTGCCAATTCTCAGCTACTATAAGCGGTCTTGAAAAATATCACTTTTTTTTCGATCATCTAACCTATAGTGTCTTAATTTTGCCTTAATAATTTGGGGACAAGGAGTTGCTTGGGGTTCAGTAGATTCGATGTATTCAAGGACACCGTCTGCTGGTTTAACTCGAATCATTTGATTCATGTATCATATTCGACTGCAGGCTGTATATATGGCATTGTTAATCTATCCTTCCAGGCTATAGTTCACAATGAAAAACGTTTCAGAGGCTCAACAGTCTGTCTTTAGATTTGATGAATTATTCTCCAGCCAGCATATTTCCACTCAGCAGGGAGTCTGCGCAGTACTATTTCAAGTGGTATATTTACCATTGTACCAACATATGCTTCAGTAATTTTATTGCTACCTGGAATCTGCACAGGTTTTCCTTGAATGCGGTACATATGCTTGACACTTTCATCTGGATCAAAGTGGATAATTGAGGATACATTAGGAAAGCATGACTTATGGGCCTGTATTAATGCACTTTCAACTCGCATATCCATATCATTTGTGAAGCAAATCCAGATATCTTTTGGAGTCCATTCAGTAAGTACATTCTTCCATGATATTGTAGGTATAGCCTCACGGAATTCTTGCAATTGGGTCATATCATCTTTCATCCACATGCGTAATTTTAATGCCTTAAGTTTAGGATCATAAGCACGATAATCGTCTATACACCAGATTACTTCATCAGCCTACTCAGTAAGAAATTTATGTAGACTTTCTTTATCACCCCATGGCGTAAGTTGGCCTGGATCACCACACATAATATTCTGACATCCACAACTTTCGGCATAGGATAATAATCTTTATAATACCTTCTTTGTAATCATACATGCCTCATCAAAGATAAGTATTTCAGCCAGAGCTTTTTTTCTAAGACATGCAGAGTCCCACTTATCGATAGGTGTTACTCCTAGATGAAAATACTTATAATATGTCATAGCCGTTAAGCCTGGATTTTGCTTTCTATGATATTCTGCAAGTAAATTTGCTAGTATTAGAACTACAACTTTTCGACCAGAAAATGCACGAATGGCTTGTGTTGTTTTTCCGCTATCGCCTTGGCCAACTAGATAAGCTTTTTGCAATGTTATTAGTTTTGAATCAATAGAAAGAGAGGGTGCGTCACTTGAAGGGATCTCTAGTGTACCTTCATAATTGATAGCCCAGGATAATGCTTCTTTACGATAAGTATATCCCTTTTTTTTCTTGCACCATTGTCCATACTTAATTTCTGGTGTTTCTAGAACAATAACTGATTCATACTGCTTTCTTTTTTTATCTAGTTCAGCCCCATATTTCGCATGCATTTCTTTTAACTCTGCAATATTTTTCGCTTTAGCTAAGAGGCTTTTATCAAAATCGGGGAGCAATTCTTGCCTCAACTCGGCAACACTTTCATCTAAAATAGTTTCAGAAATTGCTGTGTTGTAAATAGCATCTGTACATACTCATAATACATTTTCTATCGGAAAACGTTTTAGCTGTTCGAGTACAGCAATATGGGTATAGGTAAGGACAAAAGCACGGATATGCAACCATTGCCTATGCTTTTCATCACCTTCATACTTGATTAAAGTTCCTTGCTTTATTCAGGTCCAATTTGGTCGTTGTTTATTTTTTGCTAGCTAGTTGACTAACATATTCGCTTCATTTATATCCTGGACTAAAATAGATGTTACTTGCGCATTACAAGCACAAGAGCCCACAAAGCGAACAGCTAAATCACAATCTGGTGGAAACTCAATGCGGGATTTTTTACCTACACTGTATATAATTTCTCTTGGAGTTGCGCCTGTAAGCCACCCCTTGCTTAGTAAATAATCGACTAAGGGCGTTGGTATCCAGCCTTCTTTTTCTGTAAGATGTTGCCCAATAAGCCCTGCTGTAAATGGATGCAAGTTTTGAGCGAATTCTCATGCTATAAGCTGAACAATTCCTGTCAAGTTGCGAATAGTATCAATATTGTCAACTTGAGCACGTTGTTGTATCCTTTTTGAGAATCCATATTGTCTGATCAAAGGCAATGCTTCTAATGCATTTCATTCTGAATCTTCATAGCCAAGGTACGCTTCATGAAGATCCATGTGAATATGCTTGGGGAGGATCTATTGGTGCATTCCATACCATTGAATTCACCTGTGATTTACGCCAGATCTCTACAACATTTCTAGACGTAGGTGTAATAGCTTTTTTTTCTTGCCAGCAACGAAATCGATAAGACTGAATGCCACCTAGTGATTTCCAAACTTTATCAAACTCAGCTATAAGCTCTTCTGAAGGAGCCAGCATATTAGATTGATGTGATCTCAAAAGGATTCACTCATCTTCGATCCATTGACGAATATCTACATTCTTTTCCCATAAAAATTCTTCAGATATGGATTGCGAATTTTCACATATGAATACGTCGTTCAGCTTCTTCCATTTATGAGAACTATGATAAAGAATACCTTCATGAGTTAGAATCTCCTTACCTACAATCCATATTCTTATAGCTCTTGGAAAGTTTCTTGCGACAAATGATATAAGAGCTTCAGCAATCTTTTTTTCGTCGATATTAACCTCCCCCTTCTTAGTTTTCGTGCATGCAAAAACAAGTGCTCTTTCACATTCATAGTCCATATTATAGACTAAAGATACTCGAGGCATTTCAGGTATACCTCCTGTCCATGCATGATTATTATGGCAAAATACTATTAGCTTACGTTATTTAAGATACCTATCACTATTCCACATTTTGTTACCCAAAATATCTTTGATAATGATTTTCATCCCTATTCCTCCAGATTTTCCGGTTTTTCAAGGTTATGCAAATTATCTAAAGTACAGCTAGATGCTTATATCTTTTCATTAAATTTTGCAAAGGCACTTTCACGAGCTGGCGTTAGCCCTATAGTCCGCTTTGTTTCTTCATGCTCTATTAGTCTTTGTAATTCTGCTACAATACAATTCAAGTCGCCATCATAAAATGGTCCTGGTGGTCCTTGTGGTCTCGGAACTGGTCAAAGTTCATAGCAAATATGATTAACATACTCTCGGGTCTTTGTTACTAAAAATTCGTCAATTCCAATTAGTTGTTCTAGCATAATTTCTTCTCCAGTAAGACTTCTGGCTTTCTTTTTCTTACCAAAATGCCATCCTTTATCTCCCATTTCTTTTACAATTCCTCTGTCTGTATAGAGTCTAGTAAAAAAAGTATACTCTGTAGATTGATAAAGAAGACAGCAAGCTTCTAATGCCATTCCATAGCTAACATTGACTAG